ATCTCAGAAGTGGTGCCTGGCAGAGTTACTTTGCGATCATTAACAATGCTCTGAAATGATGGATTCCTGGAACCTTTCTATAGCTTTTCTGTGGTATTAAGCTACTTTTATAACTCCCTAGGGCTGGTCCCTTTGCATCCGCATCTATTTGTCTACCCAGCCTGTAACAGTGCACTGATAATAGTTAATCAATTCCGTGGTAACTTAACCTCAGGATACACATTATGCCTTGATGACTTTATGTCCGTATCTACTAGTTTGGAGTGCAACCCATTTTCTTTATCTCCTCAATGTTCAATTTGATCATTTTTGGGTTTGAATTCGGAAGTGGTTTAGCAAAGGTTTGTGTCTCAATTGTTGAAGGCAAAAGTACAGATGCCCGGCTTATCTGTGCGTTTCTAAAGTTGTGACATTCATAACCCAAAAATGACACTAAAAAAAAGTTTCAGAAATGATAGCTGCCGAACCAATTTCATTCCATTTTGTTACAGATTTATTTGGCAAACTCCTACTTGTATTGATAACGCACTTGCCACAAGCAGCACATTGATGTGAATGGAAGAACTTTTTTGCCACAGTGAAGTCCTGTAACATATTTTTTTAATTACCGGGCAGGGCAAAACCTTAGGCAAGTTTCGTTACTCTACACACCTCTGTTTACCTAGCAGTAAGTAGAAACCCGGTTGTTAGTCGATTGGCGGAAATAATCCCTTCAAAAATAAATAAAATTAATAATAATGTGGTCTCTCAATCCACGACTGTTTGTGGGATACTGCTGTGCCGAATTGGCTGCTGCATTTCACCCACAAAATAAAATTAATTTACTTCACAGTATATTCTGTGAAGTACTTTGAGGGTCTCAATGATTTGATAAGGCATATATCAAATGCAAGAATTATTATTATTATTAATATTAGTGGACACTTTTGGAAGTGAGGGAGAGGCGGGGCTCAGCTGAGCTTTGCTTCGAAAAAAGTGCTGGAATTGTGGCTTGTGAAGAAATAGATTTGAATTGCACATCTTAATTTCGGAATGCAATGCATTGATCACCACACGATTCCTCCTATTTCACGAACTCATTTGGTTCATGAGATTTTTTTAAATGTAACAGTATAAGAACAGATCATTTTAGTTCTACAAAGCCGTGGATTTTCAAATAGCAAAGTGTGATTGGATTTTCTTAATGATTTGGTTACACTGGAGCTATTTCTAGGAAATGCTTCACTCTATCCTCTGACTCATAATGGAGACCGAGTTGACTGGGTGTAGAAAGTGTTGTGTGTTGAAGGGCTCGCAATCAACACATAAACACTTCCTTTTCTCATTTGGCTCTTTGTTATATACACACATTCAATGCTGTGTTGCAATCAAATGGCGTGCAGCCGGGAAGTGAGGTTAGATGACTCCAAAATACAACATAATTTAAATGTCAATTCAAACACTACAATAGAAATTTTTTGGACAAAAAAACCCCAACACTTGGGTTGGCCAACAAACTAATCACAGAAATAACAAAATAGCAGATTTATGCCATCAATCAAGAAACATTCAATCAAGAAAAGTTTATTTTGTTGTCCAACCAAAGAGGTTGCTTTGAACTGATAAGTGACCTTTTTTCAATGATTTTTCCAGGACCTTTTTTTTTGGCACACCTTTTTTGCCCCTTTTTCCTCTCCTGCCCACGAGTCACTCCTTTTCCCTTCACTAAGGCACTGATCCATAGGTGTCAGTCACACTCCAAGGGTAACCAAGTGGTTATTATTTATGTGTGAGCCTTGACACTGGGTATTAGCAGAGGCTATTTGATTATAGGGCGGGGGTGAGGAGGAGAAGTCACAGCTGAGCTCAAATCTGTTTGTTGGATATTACTGTGTGCAAAATTGGATGCTGTGTTTGCCTACGAAATAGACAGACCCTACACTTTACAGTAAAATGCTGGTAGCTCTTTGAAATAATAGTTCTGGCATTTGGTGCTTATCGTTCATTGAGACATATCAAAGTGCTTTGCGGGATTTTACTGTAAAGTGCTGTGAGTGCGAAGATGAATGAGGCAGCCAATTTGCGCACAGCAATGACCCACAAACAGCCGTAAAGCGAATGACCAATTTTATCTGGGGTATTGTCGGTTAGGACAGCGGGAGAAACTTCCTTCTCTTTTGGAATAGTGCTGTGGGATCATTAATGACCATCTGAATAGGCAGACACGTCCTCCCTACTTGAAATGCACTGTATCAAACAAAAGAATTAGTGTTATAATCATTATAATCCTGACTGTGCCCAACCCACACACACAGGTAACTTCTAGAAGGAATCTCTTGCGAGCAATCAGAAATGGGAACCCTGTTTGATCCCCCCCTATCCTCTCCTTAACCTAGGGCACCCTAACAGTTGCTCTGGCTGAGAAAAGTTAACTCAGTAGAGACCAGGAATAATCCAGGCCTCACCAGGTGATGACTTTATCCATTAGGCCATCGGAGAAGCTCCCGGGAGCTCATTTTATTAAGTGTTCTTGAACACAAAATTAATTGGTATTTAATGAATGCATGTTGTCAAGAGCACGCTACAGACCGAAAGATGTTTAAGGTAATGTGGCCCGAAATATTACGTGGTTTTAGCCTTAAGGCCAGTGCCTTAGAATTTAAGAATATGCAGAAAGTCCAACATCTGCAGACTTTAACCAGCCTCTAAGATAAGATTGATTTTAAGATTTCTCGTAACATCTCAACAATATTGTATGTTAAGGTAGTGGTTTTGTATGTTTTGCACATAAAATATACACTTTACAATATATTCTGTGAGATGTCTCAAGGCGCTCTACCAAATACAAGGATAATTATTATTAAGGAATTGATGAAGCTCCTTCTCCAAATAATACGAAGCACAGGTCATTATCTTCTTTTGTTACAACATGACGTTTCCATTACTGTCAGTGAGTGTCAAATTGGGCTCAACTCACTGGATCTTAATTGAAAGTGGCCAAATAGATTCACGGAGGCCGCAGACAGATTGAGATTTTATCCCCTCTCACAGAATTTCCTCCCAGCCAACAATCTCCCAGATAAAATTGATCATTGACTTCATGGCTGCTTGTGGGACAAATTGGCTACCGCTTTTGCCTGCAAAATACATCATTTTACAGTAAATCCTGTGAAGTGCTTTGAGACATCCTCCTGACATGAAAGGCGCTATATCAAATGCAAGTATTATTATTATTATCCCATTACTCTTCAGAGGATCCCAGAGTCTTTAAGAGAAAGAATTTCTGTTTGAGTTACTCACTCACTGGACCACCAGTTTTCAACATCAAACATATGTAATTTTTGTTTTTAAAAGAAGGTGAATTATATAAAGTAAATCTATCCTGGGCACAAAGGTCCCTGTAAGACTTCCTTTGTGTCGGAGTGCTGTACAAGTCACGTTGAGTAAATGAATAATCTTTCATTTGATAGTGGGCCAGTCATCTTATTGTTTGTAGGATGTAAATGGTGAATTGTAAAAACGAGCTGTCTTCGAAACAGCATTTACTGCACTTAATAATAATCCTTGCATTTGATATGTCGAGGGGAGTCTCAATGTACTCCACAGGATTTACTGTAAAGTGTAGTGACTGCGAAATTTGCAGGCAAACGGATTATTTTTAAACTACTCCTCAAGAAATTGTTTATGTGTAAGGTGCGGTATAAATGTAAATTGCTATGGGCTATCAATCATAATGCTGTCACCCCTCCCCTCTCCTGCACAGTTCATCCCCCAGGGAGATATTTCCCAGATAATTGGTTAAGATTACAGCCTGAATTTATGCAAAACCCATGACAATGAATGGGGAAAGTTGCAATATCTAATAATGCCCATGTATCGGGGAAGGGGGGCTTAGTGATGGATAGCTGTGGATGGCTTGTAGCAATAATTTGATATGTGCCATTTATTGATTGGTCTGCACTATCTCATGTTGTGGAAACGGTGCTTAGTTTAGGCTAAACGATCAAATGCCTATCGGAAACAGTATGAACATTAGGAGTGATATGAAACGTATTCAATATCATCCTACTGTGTTTATTTCATGCACTCTCACCGACAACCCCCACACCCACCCCCCTCCCCACCCCATCATCCCCTGTCTTCCAGGTAATGTTCGTTTTGAGATTTAAAAGAAATAGTTTTTCCAATTGATTTTCTAATCCTCTCCCCATTGGCGCAAGCCTCTCTATTCCTAGTCAGGTACCCTCTCCACAGATGCCGGTTGCCCCTGTACAAGTGCCCATTGTTCATCCATAAGAAGTCCTAGACAAAAATGGGCAAGGTCCATCCAGTTCGCCTTCCACCATCCTGGCAAGTCGCTTGTACATATCATGTCCCAAACTATATACTGTATCCTATAAGAGCTGTATCCCATAAGCTTGACTGTAGAGGGCAACACAACTAAGCCTGGTCCTCCCCACCCTGCTGCCATACACATGCCCGCAACCAGTAAGGGTCACTGTAAAGAGTCCAGGAGCATTAACCTTGGCTGGTTTTGACCCAAGGCCAATTGATTCTACCCATATACTGACCGGCAAACTTGGCACAGACAGGAATTCGAACCAGCAAGCATTTTGAGCTTCCAATGTAGATGGTGCAACAATAACATCAAATTACATTTGTATAGCGCCTTTCATGTTGGGAGGATGTCAAGTTAGATTCAGCAATAGGCTTGCCCTGAGAGAGGGATTTTTCATTGAAATGTTATAGTTGGGTCAGTAGACCTGGAAGTTGGAAGAGAATAAGAAATGGCTTGCTGTTTCAGGTTTCTATCCTTGGAATAGATGTGTTGCCCTCCCCAGGAATCGAACCCAGGTCTCTCGCTTGCGAGCCGAGTACTCTAACCACTGAGCTACAGGACCCGTTAATCAGGAGTCTAAGACAATTTAAGAAGAAATTATGCAACTTTAACAAGTCTGAACAAGGCTTTTGGTGAAAAGAATTGGGGACTGTTTGTTTAAGTGATGCTTTTATTTCCACAGTTAACCTTCTGGATTCCAAATCGGTTCAAGGGGAGCTGGGATGGATATCTTATCCTCTACACGGGGTAAGTTCAGCGCAAGTGCAAAGCACCCAAATCTGACTGTGTGTCATCATAGTCATCTCAGATGATAATTAACAAATTGCCCGCTGTAACCTTCACCCTTGTACGTGTTTCTTCACATTTCATGTTATGTTTGGCCCAGATAGATGGCATTTTTATGATCTAGCGCAGTGCCGTAAACCTGCTGTGAATTATATCTGGAAGGGGTGAGGTAAGAAAAGTTAGAACCTACCCCCTGCAGTTCATTTTAAAACGATAGCTCTAAAAGTAATGAACGTTAACAGTTTGTTCGCCAAAGAAAAAGATCAGCTTCCCAATACCACAATAAGTGCAGGCACCATCACACACACCTGAGTCTTTGCTGATCTCACCCTGGATGGAAGTAGCAGTGCCACCATTGGGCTCAGTGGTGGTGGTGCCATTGACCTTAGTATTGCTGTTACAATTGATGGTCAATAGTGGTCTTACCATTGCCTTCATTAGTGATGCTAAAATTGAGCTCAGTGGTCTTTTGCTTGGTCAGGAGATTGAAAATCAGCCGGGCTCTTGCCTCCCCCTCGCCGCTGAGTATCCTGCAATCACAGCTCACACTTGAAGACCGCTCCTCAAGTGTGAAGGATAGACACTTGAGTGCAGTGCTCTAGGACAGTTGGTGCCTGAGATAGTGTCCACTGGTGTGAGGCAGAGGGGAAAAAACAGTTGATATCATCCTGTAATACGTGTTTCATGTATTCGCCCAATTTTCTTTCTAATATTATTAATTATTATTAATAATTCTTCTTATTAATATCATCTTCAACAGCCATTGAAAATGCGCATTCAAAATTTTCAATCATCAATTTTCAAGATTGAAAATTCCGTCACTTCGCCCCCTTCCCTCGCCTCCTTCATAGCCCGTCTCAAGACCTTTCTCTTCGACCGTGCCTTCAATCATCCTCCCACTCCACCCCTCTTGACTCCAGCACCCAGCTTGGATTCAAACCCTTCACTGTCCAGTAACTTGGCACATCCTCCTGACATGAAAGGAGTTATATAAATGCAATTTGTTGTTGTTGTTGTATTCATCCCAAAAGGGCCTCACAAGACAACCCTAGAACTCATAGTTTCGACTGTGTTTGATTCATGATATGTTAGAATTAGAAGGTGCTATAGAACAGTAATAATCCTTGTATTTGATATGCTTGCAAGGTGTCAGCTTAGCCTAGCTGAGTTGGTATCACTCTTGTCTCTGAGTCAGAAGGATGGGAATTTGAGCTCCACGTCAGGATTCTGATGTCAGGTTGGAGAGTGTTGCATTGTTGCCCTCTTAGATAAAACATTAAACCAAGGTCCCATCTTCCTGTCTGGGTGGAAGTTAAAGACACCATTCGAAAAGAGAAGGAAATTTCTTTCACCCAGTGACCTGGCCGACAACTTCTCCCATAAAATTGGTCATTCATTCATGACTGGTTGCGGGATGTTACTGTGAGTACATATCGTCAGCTTGTGTTTCACCTACAAAATGCACAGTCACTACACTTGACAGTAATTGTTGTGAAGCCCTTCTAGACATTTTGATATTATAGGCTGCTCCATCAAAGGCAAGGACCGTTATTAGTAAATATCTTGGTGAAAGCGGAGCTAGGCCATTCATGGTGGTATGATTGTAGTCGTGGTACCAATAAGATGGTGGTCTATGGAGACTTAATGAACCACAAAGGTTTCTGAGCCGGTGCCAGAGGCATGGCACCCAGGCGACTGACCCCAGACAAATCATTGCCACGGTACGTACTGGCCCGCCACTAATGACTTTTGGGTTTCCGAGCTGTAAGTTGAAATGTAACACACTCAGAGTGCCTTTCTATTAGAGATAATGGGATTCTAAACTGCTCAATAAATCACATCATTGACCACTTTTTGAAACCACTTTGCAGTACCGGGACCATTATTTTTTTTTCTCACCCGCACGTCGTTCATTTGTTTGACTGCTTCAGAACAAATGACGGCGAGACCTCTGTTTAAGAACCTCACCACCACAGACGTTTGAAAATGAAAAACAAATCATGCAGAGAGTACTTCTCGCTTGTGGCGTGCAATAAATGAACCAAGAAAATGAATGGGATTTTTAATGGATGGTTCTTCATTCCTTTAAATCCTCAATCCTCCTTTGTGTGTGTCAGCCTCGGCCAGTGGTAGCACTCTCGCCTCTGAGTCAGAAAGTTGTGGGTTCAAGCCCCATGTCGGGACTTGGAATCACACAATCTAAATTGAAACTCCAAGGCATTGCTGGGGGTGTGTTGCATTGTTGGAGGTGCAGTGCTTAGTCCGTTGCGGTGAATGTCTCATTCTAACTAGTCCCAATGTTGCTGGCTAGACTCCCGTGTTTTTCTTCCTGAACGCTGCAATGTTGTCTGTATTCCCCTTGTGGAGTCCTGTAGTGTAGTGGTTAGCGCACTCGCCTCGCAAGTGAGAGGACTTGGATTCGATTCCCGGACGGGGAGAAACGTTGGGCAAGTCTCCTTACTCCACACGTCTCTGTATGCCTAGCAGTAAGTAGGAACCCAGTTGTTAGTCGATTGTCGGATGGCTTTCCCTGGGGTAATAATCACTTAAAAAAATAAGAATAATAATTGGGTCACTCAATCCACAACTGTTTGTGGGACACTGCTGTGCACAATTCGCTGCTGTGTTGGTTCCACAAAATACACAGTCAATTTACTTTACAGTATATTCTGTGAAGCACGTTGAGACGTCTCAAAGATGTGATAAGGCGCTATATCAAATACAAGGATTATTATTGGTATTATTATTATTGGATGAGACATTAATGGAGGCTCCATTTGCCTGTTCAGTTGAACAGTAAGGATCCCATGGCACTATTTGAAAAGAGAAGGGAATTTCTCCCGGTGCCTTGGTCAATAATCCCCCAAATAAAATTGATCACTCACTCCATGGCTGTTTGTGGTACATTTCTGTGTTCAAAACTGGCTGCTTCGTTTTGCCTACAATATACATGGGCAATCCACGTTGCAGAATATCCTGTGAAGCGCTTTGAGGCGTCTTGACAATGTGATGAGGCACGATAAGGCACAATGTGATAGGTCCTGTAGCTCAGTGGTTAGAGCACTCACTTTGCAAGTGAGAGACCTGAGTTCAATTCCAGGCAGAGGGCGAAACCTTGGGCAAGTTTCCTTACTCCACACAGAGCCTAATAATAATCCCTCCAAAACAAAACAATAATAAATTGGTCATTTTCAATCTACGACTGTTTGTGGGACATTGCTGTGCGCAATTGGCTGCGCATTCGCCCACAAATATATAGTCAATTCACTTTACAGTATATTCTGTGAAGCGCTTTGAGACGTCTAGAAGATGTGAAAAGCGCCATATCAAATGCAAGGATTATTATTATTTATTATTATAAGGTTAAAAAATTGCTGTATTGCCAAGCACGTTCTATTCCTTGTTTAAGGAAATTAGATCTTTGGAAGCAGTAATCACCCAGCGTGAAAACCACCAGTCTAGTAAAAGCGACTTCAAATGTTAGCAACAGATTGAAGTGAGGTAAAAGAAGCCTTTTGTAATGCATGGAAAGAGCAGTCATTTGAGAAGCAGGCTAGCATTAACACCTCTACAGCTCATTATACTTCACAGCTGAAGTCAGGATAGCTCTTCTGGTTTCAAGTGATAGAATACTGATCGGTTTCCGGGCCTGTATGTGATTCTACTGTTTTCACTTCCAGGCATTTTGCCCTCCCAGATCTGTTCTTCCAGGAACGATTTAAAATAAAGTGCTGCTTACTCTCATTGAGACTGATGAATCCACTCATAGCTTCTGAGGCCAAATCAGGATCGTAATTGTGTAAAGCAAATCTGGTGCCAAGCCACTGGGTATTTCCCAAGGTATAGTTGGCTCCATTGATAATTACAGTAATGACAAACAGAAGATGGAAAGGAGCACTGCATTAGGATTGTTTATGGCTTGTTTAAGATTGATAGAGGCGGTCAGAATGAAACCAAAATTGCAGAGCAAACCGAAAGGGTGAATAGTAGTTTATCCCCACGGCCGCACATACTCTCCGATTGATTGAAGGTCTTACATAATCCTTCATTTGATATTTGATGTATATTGCAGCAGCAGAAATAAAAGCTGTTCGTTCTTATTTCTTATGTTATAAATACATCGACTATGAATTTTTACAGTCATGAGCAGCAGCGTCTTTCTCTGGTATTCTGTACAGTGAAAGCCTCACATAAGTCGTATCGGTTGGGATCCATACATTTAATATGACTTTGTATGCAAAGTATGAGTTATGTGAAACTTGCATAGAATATAAGCTCTCGAATAGGACTTGGGCAGATGCACGATTTAGACGATTGTACGGTTTATACAGATCAGATTCAAGCGAGTTTTACTGTAGTACTTTAAAAAGAAGTATAGAAAAGTGAGAAAAAGTATAGAAAAATACAGAAAAATTAAGGCTCTGTGTAAGAATTTGCCAAATCCTGGACTCTCATAAATAGACAGACCCCAGGTGGAATTTCCCCCCTGTGTATCATTTAAGTGTATGCTTTGCAGAGCAGGTCAGTGCTGGACTTTGATGGATCTGTGCGATACCTGCTGGGTTCTCCACCCCAGCAAGGTTGCTGCAGCACTTAAAGCCCACTGAGAGAGACACAATCACTCAACAACACCTCCTAGCAACGCACCAGCAAAAGACACAAACAACACTTGGAGTCTGCTTTTAACCTGGTTAGTATGTGACCTGACGCAGAGAAGCTGAGTCTTGTATAATTTGACAATTGATGCTCAGCTTTTCGCTGGAGTGAGCGAATGAGTTGAGTGCTCGCTCCATCGCCTCGTGGCAAATTGACTGACATCTTCGTTGTTTTTCTAAGGACTTTTAAGGAACGACAAAGGGTGGAATATTGTCTGAATTTGCCCGTTTGTTTTAACCTGGTGTCTTGCTTTCAGCCTGGCTCGGCGGCTGATAGCATTCCCACCTATAGGTTCAAGCCCACCG